AGGCAAGAAAAAATGTGTCATACACAGGAAGACCAGGACTTTTATACCATTGGTTACACAAATGAATGGGAGGAGAAATGCATGGTTCATGGTACAAGGAGATGGGAGGAGAAATGGAGAATTGGTTGGTTCATGACCTATTGGCAGAAGGGATGGGGTTACAAAGGAATCCAAACATATCGCAGTGGGAATCACAGAAGGGATACAATTTTTCAAAGGAATCCAAACATATCACAGTGGGAATCACAGAAGGGATACAATTTTACAACTGGATCTATAGACTGCAATTATGGAAATACATGGTTACAATGGAAAGCAATTTATTATCTTGTATAGAGGTTAAAAGGTTGGCTGAAAAGAAGACTTCCAAGGTGAGAAGGAAATAATGCTTGTATAGGAAAAAGGTGTTGTGCAGTGATTGTCCAGGTCGCTGAGTTCATTTCGCATAAGATTGGTCCTGGTATGTGCCTGGGGGAAGAGTCAAAACCCAGCTGTGTCTGTTTGCTTCTCCAATCTAGATTGGAATGCGGGATAACCCGCCCTGGAGAAGGAAACCCGGCCAGCTTTATTCCTTTACAGAGACTCTTTGAGGGAATGAAAAACATGTACATATATGTATAGCTGGCTGTGTTTTATCTTTCAAAACTGTATTCTGTGTGATCTGATCCTTTTTCAGTTTTATTAAAGGTGTGTTGTTCTTGCGTGTTTCATGTAGTGCTTTTGTGTACACAGCCTCTTCACAGTGAACTCAGAAGAAAGTGCTCTTAGGAAAGCTGGTATAGAGTGCTATCTAAAATTACCAAACTATCTAGTTTAAATAGGCTGGCAGGTACTCCGAAGCCTATTTTACTTCATCCTGACAACCAAATTAGAATACTTCTAAAAGCTTTATTACTTTCATGAGCTAAAATCTGTTCGAAATAAGTTCTGAATGATCAAGTGTATTACATGTTAAATTGACACAATCTTGTGGTGCCTTTGAAATTTTTAATACAGACTTCAGAGGGATCAGATTCAGACATGGACATTTCAGCCTAAGTGCATTTTGAAATTACCATTGCCTTCTTTGGAAGATGAAAGCCTTTTTGTATTATATCCTGAGGTGGGTTTAATGTATTAGTATAGCTTTGGGTGTTCTAAGGAAAGAGAGAGAAGGCACAGGTTTTAATACGTGTGAAGCTGCTTTCAGCTAAACAAATACCCATTCTTTAGTAAATTCCAATGTTAACGTTTTGCCAGTAGCCTTTATGCAGTCATTTAACTAATGAAATGTATTATTTGTCTCCGTGTGTTGTTTGGTGGGATTCCCTTCTTGCAGATAGGTTTCTTGGTGTTTTCTAGGTATCACTAAATACAATCTTGTTTTGTGAAAGAGAAGGAATGTGGGCTGTAGTGTCTGAGGTCTTTATTGCCTTGGTTCTCTATCCTGGGCTGTTGGATTCATGGTGATGTGCAGAAGCATTTGTCCTAAGGCAGTCCTAAGAAGTAGATACTTATTTAACTCTTGGCACACCGGAGACCAATGTTTAGGAAGTCTCTATTCTTTGAAATGCTCTCTCTTTTCCACACTGCTACTGGGTTCTTGATGCTTACTGAAAATTTAAACAATGGGAGAATCTGTAGATAACTACACACTGTCTAGTTGCATCCCTAAATCCTGTAACTATTTAAACAGTGTCAAGGGAACCAGAGGGAAGTTACATAGCACTACAGCTACAAAACAACTTGTGCTTCCAGTTCCTCTTCACAGTTTTATCTTTCAGAGAATCATCTTGCTTTTCCTGTGTTAGACTTTAAATGGCAGCAGTGGGAAGAGTGAGAATGGGATTGAGGACCAAATTGTGTTCACAGAGGTAACAAGCTATATAACCTAATTGATTGCTATGTGGAAGGAAGGATCCACCATAGTACATTTTGGGCATGTCTGACGTTGCTATTTTCCTAGTAATCTCGAGGGTCATTCTGTGCATGTTAAATATGAAACCTTCCAGTATGGATAAATAGAATCGTCTGTTGTGAAGGAGGAGTAGAGGAGAGTATGCTGTCCCTGGATGTAAAAGGTGTAGAAGGCGAAAGAGAACAGAGTGGAAGGGATCATCCCACTGACCCGATGACAGTTACTAAAAAGGCGGGAGAGTTAAACCTTGATGACAGGGTGGGAAAGACGGAGATTTGCTTGGCAGAAGGAGAGTGGGAGGAGCAAGAGGTGTTGGTATGGGAAGAAGGGATAAATGAAGGAGTGGTGAGGTGGTTCTCCTCAGTGGTGGAGGAGTATGAAAGAAAGAAGAGAGAGGAACGGAGAAAAGTGTTTGAAAGAGTTCGCACCCAGGGTCTGATAAGGGACTTTCCAAACTTGAGAGTGGGAGGTTTGCTGCCTAATCCTGACGAGGAGAGAGAAAGACCTCAATGAGTGGTGGCTCAAGAATGGATTGAGATCGTGGCGCCCAGAGAAGCCGAGTTGAGACATGAGTGGGAAGCAGAGAAATACCAACATCCTGAAGAACCTGATGAGAGAGGGTGGGTCCGACACTCATGTAGTGGGACTATCTGTGCGATACGGAGCGCCCCTCTCCTGAAGCCAGAAGCCAAGAGATGGCGTGGGGGGCAACCCCTTTGAGTCCATGGGACTATGACAAAAGTTGTGTTTCAGAAAGTTGTGGCCTGTTGCCTATGTTAGAAACGTTTGTTCCTGTAAGCAGTGTGCTGGTGGATGTGGGAGAGAATAAAGATGAAAATTTAAAGGTTATAAAGACTACACCTTTATTATTTCCCGCCGAAGAGGAGGGTCCGTCCCAGGGAAGGGATGAACCTGTTCACATCTGTGCTTACTCTGTAGGTAAACTTTCCCTACAAACTTAGTTAATGTATACATACATTGATGTTTTAATCATATTTGTTCTTCTGACATTTCCATATTATGCTGAAGACTGAAAGCAACCATCATTCTTCAGTATTTAAGCTTATTTATTCAGTATAACCTGGCACATGGCATTAACTTATATTACAGAGACCACCGAGAGGTCATTGCTGGAAGCTCACCTCATTTGGAATGTTTGCAATACTCTTCTTTGCCAAGCATAAATAATGGATGGTTTCTAGTGGTTGTTTTGTTTCTATTAAAGGTGCAGGAAAATTATTAAGCTAAATTCTTTGGCTTTATGTGTGTTTGGAGTGGAAATTTGTGTTCTGGGGACTAAGAACAAAGAGATGAGATCTCAAGTTAACTTAATATTGCACAACCAGAATTACAAGTCACTTTTGAGCTGTTGGGAGTAGATGGGTGGTGGTGGTTTAGTTTTCTAGAGGTACTGCTAATTAACTGGTGACCCATTTTTAAATCAAATTCATGGGAGTTTGCTCATCGCTAGGCTTAAACTCTCAGCTTCTATTATTTCTTTTGTTCACCTGGGCTGTCATAACTTTCTGTTGGTCTGATTTTAAAATAATATAAAATGTAACTGACAGAGCATGTGTACAGGAGTTTTAAGCAATGTAATTTTAAAAAAGCCACATGCAGAGTATAAATTGTACTCTACCTAGTGTGTGTTTGTGCCAGGAGTTGATAGTAAATAACATTATCAGTTGGTCTTTGTTAAAAACAGTAAGTAACTTTTACTGTTTAAAACATATGTGGAATAGAATAAACTTACAATGTTTAGACATTTGGTACTTGTTGCATTAAATTTGTACTTGACTTAGTTAATATATCATCCTTAAACCTGACAGATATAGTTACTATAGTAAATAATTAATTCTCACATCCTAACACTATTATGTCGAAGGGACATGGTGGTGCGGTGGGTTAAACTGCAGAAGCCTCTGTGCTGCAAGGTCGGAAGACCAGCAGTTGTAAGATTGAATCCACGCAACGGAGTGAACTCCCGTCGCTTGTCCCAGCTCCTGCCAGTCTAGGAGTTTGAAAGCATGTAAATGCGAGTAGATAAATAGGTACCACTACGGTGGGAAGGTAACAGTGTTCCATGTCTAGTCGCGCTGGCCACGTGCCCACGGAAACTGTCTATGGACAAACGCTGGCTCTACGGCTTGGAAACGGGGATGAGCACTGCACCCTAGAGTTGGACACGACTGGACTAAATGTCAAGGGGAACCTTTACCTTTACCTAACACTATTACATATTTGACCATATCTGACAAAACTGCATCTTACTACATATTTGCCCTGTCAAAGTCTATCAGCCCTATCAAACCCTGTCATCTCTATCTGAGGGACTGTTAACTGACACTTGCTTTATATACCTGTCAGGATAATATCAGGCACTTTCTGATTGGTCAGAATGCGTCACTATGCAAATACCGCATTCTAGTTCTTCCCATACTAAACACACACACACTGTGTTAAACAGTTACATATTCCAACATCTTTACTAGTGACTTGGATTTGGTTGGAGGGCTCATTAAACTACAGATCTATATATAAGGAACAGTATCAAACTTAGTTAATTTTGTTTCCTCCAGTGATGCATAACTCAAAAATTAATACCTCCCACTGCTTACAACTAAACATCTGAGTATGTGTTTCAGTCACAAACAAGACTATTGTCATAGCAAGCAGTAAGTAGGAAAAAAAATTAGAGACAGTGACATGGCATTTCCTGACATTTTGAATTGAAAGGTTTGTACTCTTTAAAATTAGTTTTTAATTCATTAGGTAAGGATTTGGTATACTACATTCTTCTCCCTTTACAAAAGAATTGATTGAGGGGAATGTTTGTAGAAGTTGTTTATGATAACATGTTTTCTTAGATGCTTGCTATTCACTTTTTTACACACTGAAGCTGAGAAGTTTGTTAGGCATTATATTAATTCATTATGTTAGAATATGATCCAATAAATTTTATGCAGAAATACATCTTTAAAAAGCAGAAGGTTCTTTTGTGGAGAGCTGCCCATACTACATTACTGAAATTTTCATATGCATTACTAGTCATGTATAATGCATAAAGCTTTAGTTTAAATCTTTGTGTTTTTGTGTCCAGGATAAAGACACTTGTGAAAATGGCATGCCCAAGGAATTTCAAAAGATGCAGACCACCTGATTGAAGATGGTGGCTCTGTGTTTTACTCCATTTAATTAGTAAAGTAAGTAGAAGTTATTATCTCCAACATTTAAGATACATATTTCCAGCAGAATTTGCTAATAAATATTGAATTTAGAGGGTTCAGAAATAATTGTAAGCATCGGTATCCATACCAGCAAATTAATTGTGTATGAACACGCAAATATTTTCAGTGACCAGCATCAGAATTTCTACAGGGAGGCAGACAATAATTTTGATCCAGAAATACCCCTTGAGGGCCCTTGTATAAATGAATGGGGAAGGGCTTTGGTATATGGAAATCAGTTTTTAAATTTCCTCTAATTGGGGCCAGAGTACTGCCAAGAAACACAGGAATGTTTTTCGGTATAGGAGAATTGGCAATTCCTTTTCCATGCTGTTGAGAGGAAATCATGCTGTGTGGAGAATATGATCTAATTGCATCAGACAAAAAGTATTTATTCTCTGTGCTCATCTAGTCCCCAAATTTACTATGTATGAAGTTCAATTTGGACATAACCTTAAGTCAAGGCTATTAAATCCTAATGCTGTTGGTATATTGTTAGATGCATATATTGCATGACTCACTCTGTTACTGAATACCTTACGGAGCTACAACATGTAAAAGATTTGTTAGGTCTGCAGTCTTAGCAAAAAGTATAGCTGCATTTTTATTACTTCATGAAATGTACCTTCTGATCAGGGGATGATGAGTCACCAGCTAAGCATTTCTCTCCTTTCTTCTTGTTATATTTTCTTTTGCAGTTGCCACTGTTCCATAAGAAAGTCATGATTACATTAACTGAACTCAGATGCTTAGCAGATGCCCAGTCTTCATACCAAATCTTGAAACCGTGGTGGGATGTCTTCTGCTATTATCTCACCATGATAATGCTGCTTGTTGCTGTTATTGCTGGGGCACTCCAGCTTACTCAGACTAGATTGTTATGTTGTCTTCCTTGCAAGCTTGAGTTTGACAATCATTGTGCAGTGCCTTGGGATCTGGTTAAAAGCAACATTAATGTGTCCTTCAGCTCTGCAACACCAATAATGCGCCCTCTGAGAATACAGAACTATCTTCATCGTCAGCAGTACTCTTACATTGACGCCGTGTGTTACGAGAGAGAGCTTCACTGGTTTGCCAAATTTTTCCCATACTTAGTGCTTCTCCATACTTTCATTTTCGCAGCTTGCAGTAATTTTTGGCTTTACTATCCCAGCACAAGTTCAAGGCTGGAGCATTTTGTAGCCATTCTTCATAAATGTTTTGATTCTCCCTGGACAACACGTGCTCTGTCAGAGACGGTGGCTGAACAGTCTGTGAGGACTCTGCCTCTCTCCAAATCAAAAAAATTTATCTCCTCACCAAGCAACTTCACAGAATTGGACAGTAAGCGGCAATCTGTGTCCTACTCGCAAACTGGACTAGAAACAGCTGGAAGAGAAAGCTCTTCAAATGTCCTAGACAGAAAAGAAGGAGAACAAGCAAAATCAATTTTTGAAAAAGTTAAGAGGTTCAGGATGCATGTTGAACAGAAAGATATCATTTATCGAGTGTATCTAAAGCAGATTGTGGTCAAAGTCATTGTGTTTATATTGATAATGATTTACGTTCCCTATTATTTAACCTTTGTTACACTAGAATTTGACTGCATAGTTGATATTCAGGTCTTTACTGGCTACAAGAGATACCAATGTGTTTATTCATTGGCAGAAATTTTTAAAGTGCTTGCTTCATTCTATGTTATTTTGGTGATCTTATATGGCCTGACGTGCACTTACAGTCTGTTATGGATGGTGAGAAGTTCACTGAAACAATACTCTTTTGAGAAGCTGAGGGAGCAGAGTAATTATAGTGATATCCCTGATGTGAAAAATGATTTTGCCTTTATTCTTCATCTGGCAGACCAGTATGACCCCCTATATTCTAAGCGGTTCTCCATTTTCCTGTCTGAGGTGAGTGAAAATAAGTTGAAGCAAATTAGTCTAAATAATGAGTGGTCTTTAGAGAGACTGAGAAGCAAGCTGGTACGAAATTCCCAGGACAAGATGGAACTTCATCTTTTTATGCTTAGTGGTCTTCCAGATGATGTCTTTGAACTCACAGAGATAGAAGTTCTCACCCTAGAACTCATTCCTGAGATTAAGCTTCCTTCATCAGTAAACCAGTTGCCCAGTCTCAAGGAATTAAACCTTTATCATTCATCATTAACTGTAGAATTCCCAGCCTTGAGTTTCCTGGAAGAGAATCTCAGAATCCTGCGTCTAAAATCAGCTGACCTAAGCAAAATTCCACGCTGGGTCTTCTATCTAAGGAATCTCCAGGAATTGTATTTGACAGGATGCTACATGCTAGAACCCCAGAATGGCCTCTACAATGAAGGCTTTCAGGAACTTGTGAATCTGAAAACAATTCACTTAAAGAGTAGCCTTTCGCGCATACCTCAGGTGGTTACTGACCAGCTGCCTTCACTACAAAAGTTATCTATTGATAATGAGGGGAGAAAACTGCTAGTGTTGACCAACTTGAAGAAACTGCTGAACCTGAGAACTTTGGAATTGATCAGCTGTGACCTGGAACGCATTCCACATTCTATCTTCAGCCTGAATTATTTGCATGAAATAGACCTGAAAGAAAATAATCTCAGAACGGTAGAAGAAATCATTAGTTTTCAACACCTGGAGAACCTTTCTTGTCTGAAACTGTGGCACAATAATATATCCTACATCCCAGTGCAGATTGGAACTTTGGCAAATCTGGAGCAGCTCTTTTTAAACCACAATAACATTAAAAAAATCCCACCACAGCTCTTTCTTTGCAAAAAACTGCATTATTTGGATCTTAGTTATAACAAGCTAACCTCTGTTCCTGATGAAATCCAGTATTTAACAAATCTGCAGTATTTTGCGGTAACGAAGAACCATGTAAGTAGAGGCAGAATGTGGGTTTAAGATGAACCTGCTATTTTCCATATCTTTATTTCTTTCCTGTTAATGTAGTGACTTTAGCCTAATAATGTGTTCTGTGTTACCATAGACGGAGCTAAGAAGGCTGATTTTTATTTAGTCTGATGAATTCATTCATGTTTAAGTTTTTAACTTAAAGGGCCTAATGCAGTCATTTAATGATTTAAATAGCCTATTTGTTTGTTTATTTGTTTGCTTTCAATTTCTGTACCACTTCATTAGTGTTGTTGTTCTCTGCACAGTTCACAATAGAATCATACACTAAAACATTATATAATAAATAAATAAAAAACAACTAAACCCTGCCACTAGCTAAAACTGCCTCTAAATAAAATTACATGAAATAAAACCCATTTGGACATCTCAGGACAATATTCGCACTAGTAGAAGGAAGCTTTATATAATTTGGTCTTAAGTAGCTTTCTTAAAACAGGGATGGTGCCTAGTGAACTTCTATAGGAAGCTTGTTCTGAAGGGAAGTGGTATCTTTTTTGCCTCTTTAATATCAAAGACTGTGAGGAATGTGTGGAACAGGTAACTATTTTGCGTGAGAGATGTTCTACAATATTGAGGCCCTAAACTGTCAAGGGCTTTATAGGTTATGACCAGCACCTTAAATTGAACACAGAAACTAACAGGGTGCCAGTGAAAGTACGCCAAGACCAGGGATCTGTGTTCATATCCGCTGGTACCTGTTATCAGGTTGCTGCCAAATTCTCGACTGCTGAAGTTTCTGTACTGACTTCAAGGGCAGCCCTACATATTACAGTAGTCTAGCTGAAATACTACCAGTGCATGAACCACTATTAGGCATTTCTTCTCCAGGTAGGGGTGCAGCTGGTCAACCAGCCAAAGCTGATAAAAGGCAGTCTAGGCCACAGCAGATATTTGTGCCTCCATAGAGAGAGCTGGGTCCAAGAACATCTCAGGCTACAACATGATCCTTCTGGGGAAGTACAACCCCATTGGGGCCAGGTAAATATCTTTCTAACTGATCCAGTGATCCTCCAAATAGTAGAATCTCTGACTTATCTGGATTCAGTTTTAGTTTGTTGGCCCTCATCCAGTTCCTTATCAATGTCAGACAGCACTTGAGGACCCACACAGCAACACCCACAGATGATGAAAAGGAGAGATAGATTTGTGTGTCATCCACATGTTGATGGCAATGAACTCCAAATCTCTGTCTTACTTCTCCTGGTGGCTTCATATAGATATTTAAAAGCATTGGGAAGACAGCCAATCCCTTCAGGACCCCATAATGCAGGTCTCAAAGGGGTGGACAATGCCTTTCCAAGCTGTACTGTATGAGATCAGCCCTCAAGAAAATCTTGAAACCACAGAAGAATGGAGCCCCCAATCCCTAAAATCAGTGGCTGCCCGAGAAAGATACTGTGATTGATACTATTAAAGACTGCAGAAAAATCTCAGAGGACCAGTAGGGTTACACTCCCCCTGTCTACTTCCCTCAAGATTGTCTTGTGGGACAACCAAAGATGTTTCTCTCAGATGGTGCAGCCTGAACCCCAGTTGAAACTAATCTAGTCTGTTTCATCCAGGAACACCTGCAGCTGGTCAACTAGCTAATTAATCTCTCAGTTGATTGGCCCAGGAATTGAATGTTGGCCATGGGCTTGTAGTTGTTAAGATCATCCATTACTAAATCAGATTTCTTTGGAATGGTTTCCTTTAAATGGGAAGGTAAATTACTCTCCCACAGGGATTGCGAGTAGCCCATTCCGTGATAGTTTCCTTTCCTGACATAGAGAATTTAGTGTGATGGATGGGAATTTATTCCTCGTTATTGACACTTTGTCACATTCCTTCCACTTTCATTTAAAGGTGTGTTTCATGCAGATGTAGCAGTACCTGGATTGATGATAAGATAGGTACCATATTAGTTTTAGAAGGGTCTGGTTCACCGTTGTTTGAGTACTCATGAGGCTGCCTTGGGTAAGCTGAGTGGCTTTCCCATCTACAGCACTTGTATAGGTACAAGGGTTTAACTGTGACCACCTGGTCATCTCCTGGAATTTGTCCCTAGTTGCTAGCATGGGAATAATAGAAACATTGCAACTAGTTGATATGAGGACATGGTAAGCATAGTAAGTAAAGGACTTGATGCCTGAAATGTGTGCATTAAGTACTTTCTTGTGATCCAACGTTTCAGAGAGAAATCTCTTACATTTGATTTCACCATATACGGTGGAAGCTTCTTCTTCATCATCATCATCATCATCATCTTCATCATCATCATTATTATTATTATTATTGTCATTGTCATTGTCATTGTCATTGTAAGTATATACATGGTATATCCATACAACGAAATTCACACAGGCACCCAGAGACCAGACTCACATGCACACACATAAAAATTCCCCAAACACTCCCGATCCACAAAAATCCCCTACTAAGAATACAAACATGTACACCACAGGCTAAGTAACACTGTCCAACTAACTATTCACTACTGGTGGTCTTTAAGCTCATTATTAAGTGCAATTATAGCTCTGGGATAAAAACTGTTCAGAAAACGTGCGGTACGAGTCTTAATTTTTCTATATCTTCTGCCAGATGGCAATAGTTCAAAAAAGTTGTAAGCAGGATGGGAAGAGTCAGGGCAAAATGTTGTGGGCAAAATAAAAATTCAGACTTCCATATTGATTTGTGAAATTCAAGAAACCCTAAATACTAATGATCTTCCTCTTAAGATCAAAGTGGAGAGGCAGGTTTTAGTTTTATTGAACAATTCTTCAGACTGGATACCAAATGAGAAAAATAGGCTGCAAGCTATACACAGCCTTCCAGACTTAACAATGCAGTTTCTCAGATCTCCTCCAACGCAGGCACTCATGAAGTCTCCCCTCCGCCCCAAATGTTGAGTCACCAAAATAGCAAATAATGCACTGAGAAGTCTGTGGGGAACTCGGTGTGTTCTCTAAATAAAATTTCTTCCAGTCTCTTTCTGGGCCTCAAAACATTTTTTTTCTAGAAACTGGAAGTGATTGTCCAGTCAGTTGCTGTTGCTGAAAAGGGCCCTAGGGAAGACAATATAATCATTAGAGGGCAAGTCGCATCTCTCCAGGGGCTTCTGGGAGCACAATCTGTGATTCTGAGGACTCAAAACATAATTTTTCAGAGTTATAGGAGGGGCCCAGAGAAATCCGTGGTAGGACAAAAATGGTCCTTGCACCTGCAAAGGTTGCCCACCATCACACTAGAGCAGTGGTTCCCAACCTTGGTTCCCCAAATGTTCTTGGGCTAAAACTCCCAGAGGTCTACACCATGAGCTGTGTTGGCTAAGATTTCTGGAAGTTGTCAACACCATTAGCTGTGTTGGCTAAGATTTCTGGAAGTTGTAGTCCAAGAACATCTTGGGCCCACTGCACTGGTGGGTCTTCAGTGGTATAGCCTTGGATTTAGGCCAGTATGTTCCTCATAGATTAGTTATTGTTTTCATCCTAGGCAAAATGTTACAAGTTGTTCCACAGGTAATGAGACAAAAAACAAATGGTACTTTCATTTAAAAAATATGAAATATAAAAGAGAGCCTTTTAAAATGATTAAAACCTGATTCAAGCATTCATTGAAAGAGAACAGAAGTAACAAAAGCACTGCATCTCATACCATATTCTCTATTCTTGCTCTGGTAAGAACAACCCTTTTTAATGTCATCTTTATTAGGAGCTACTTATACTGTGCATTTCTATTTACCATCTGTAAGAAATCCTCCACTCTGCCACATCTGTTCCAAGTTCAGCTGGAACAGTAGCATACCCAATATCCTCAAATGCATCCACACATTTCTTATCTTGTTTTCTTCTATCTCTTCAGAGACACTGGTTTTCCAACTTAGTTGGCCTTATTTGAGCAATGAAAAATTGCCACCAAAGCTTAAAACAATTTCTGGTACAGAAGCATAGATTATAAATAGGATTTATAGGTTAATGTGTCTGAAGAAGTAGAATTAGAACCTTTACTATCAAGTGTGGCTGTAGAAAATCAGGATCCTGATTCATGTGGAGAGATCCCCATGGACAGCAGAAAAATCTTCAGATTCATTGTTCTAGTAATAACGAGGGGTGGGGTGGGATGGGGATAGAATAATGTGTTCTTTTCACCATGACTTTAAATAGATACAGTAATGCCTGAATAAGGGCTTTTGACTCTGCCACAGCCTGCTTCAGATCTGTTTTACTGAAGAAGGAGCTTATCTGAGTGTTACGCATATCCATACATAATTTCACTTGGCTTGTATCAAACTATTTGTATGATTGGCTCATAGCATATCTTTCTTAGCCATAACAGGGTTCCATTAATTGTTACAGTATAACCGATTGAGCAGTATGGGATTTCTTCGCTATATGAAGCTTGCTAAGGGGAAAAAAAAGTGTATTGATTGCTTTTGCATTTGCAAACACCTTGCAACTTAGTGTCTTTTTCTGTTTTGTTTAGATTGAAGCACTTCCAGATGAATTGTTTCAGTGCAAAAAACTGCAGTACCTCCTTCTGGGACATAACAGCCTGACACATTTGTCGCCTCAGATTGGTGAACTCTCCAGTCTTCTTCATTTGGAGCTCAAAGGAAACTATCTGGAGTCATTACCTGCTGAGCTAGAGGAATGTAGTTCTCTGAAACGGAGTTGTCTGGTTGTGGAAGAATGCTTATTAAAAACACTTCCCCTTCGAGTGACAGAGCCTGTGCCGATCTTGGACAAAGCCTGAGTTTAAGAGAACTGTCTTGTGTGTACAGGCAAAACCCTCTGGAGTTCTTAAGCCCCAACTCTGAAGAAAAATATGCTTTGCTTCAGATTTGCAACTCTACGTTGACTCAAATCTCTCTTAAAAATATGTACACATTTAAGTTTTAAACATATACAGATTTGGCATGTATATGCATGCATCTCATGAAAATCTGAATTGTGAATGAATGCGTTCAGAGCTAAGCGGAATAGTGTTTTAATTATTTTTGAGTGGCTGAGATAGAAAAATCCAGTTTGAATCTAGTGAGAGCTATTTTCCCATGCCACTTTTATTTCAACAGTAATTTATATATTTTCCTGTAAGGACCAACAAATAAAGCTTTCCTGATATGTTTACCATTGGCCCATTTCTGGTATGGAGAGGGAGCTTTAATGGAGGCTGTCTTGTATAAAAGATCATTGTTCAGTGCACTGAGGAATAGATTTAAAGTCAAATAGTTTCAGTATTTTTATAAGTGATGTGGATAACTTCATCAGGATTTTTTCATACCCAACCATAATTCAGATTCCATTGAGACATTCCACCTGGCATTGTCTAGAATATACCACTAGCCATCATGCCATCTGGACTCCCATTTATGTGGCTTTAAGGAGTGATAATGGGAAGAACACTGTGTACATAGTGGAACATAAATATGCCTGGTTTAAAGGTGAAATCAAGCATTTGAGAACTATGCAAGTTGTTAAGTTTAACATGAGAGGTGTCTTTTGTGCTACGCTTAGTATGTATAAATGCAAGTTTTTTAGCCCTTGTCTCTAAACTTGAGATAGCAGTAGGACTTCAGTATGATACAGAGATTCTGTTTCTGTGCCATACCAATGGCTGTTTTATCTTTCCCAGTTTTCCTACTCTTCCCCAGTTTGTGTACTAATATGCTTCTGGGGATGTTTCAGAAATGTGCAGCAAGTTATAAAAGGGACGGTACAGTTCAAGCATTTAGAGATGGTGTACTGCAGATTATCTTCACAAAAAGGAAAATAGTTAACGTTATGACCTGGAAATGGGTGGCCCTATGTACTTGTCTCTTATTCATTGCCAAAGGTAATGGAAAACTTCTGTTACATATTCACATTACATCTTTCTGAATAGTCACGAAAGCAAATAAAAGTTCACTTGCAAATACAGGCTTTGATCCTAACAAAAGCTTTGGGAACCTCTCCTTGGTGGAATTGCTATGAAACCATATTTCTGTTAAAGGAGAAGGTGGGAGGTGGCTTTCAACACTTTCCCCCCTCCCAGCAACCCCTTGCATGCCCCCCCAAAAATGTTCCAGAATGTAGGAAATTCCTTGCAACAGAATGGGGAATGATCCAGGAGCTGTAGAAGGAAAGAAAGGGAAATTATTACATCCACTATCCTCCACCTTCATCCAGCAGCAGCTTTTGCTTGGCCAGCATCCCTTCCATGGGCAGAAGGAGCTTTTATAGAAGTTATGGTAAAACCTATGGAATTTTTCGTATCTATTTCATATCTATTTCAGTGCTGCTCTGAGACATCTTTGTGATTTTTGATTCCTGACACAAAAATGTAAGAACTTGGTAGCATGCTTTCAAAGAAAGAGTACTTTATATTTCTGTGTGATGTATTCAGGTGTTCTGCTTACTAATGTTATGCCTATTTTGTGAGACTGGGTTGAATGAGATACTAGAAATGTTTGTGACAAGTTTACATTAGTATGTGCTTTTTAAAAAAAATCTTTAGAAATAGCTCAGTTCCATTATACCACAGAACTCAGCTGCGTTAAAAAGAAAAAGAAAATCTCACTTTGGTAATATCTGTCCATTGTAATAATTACATTCCAAAGATCTTTTAAATAGCTCTCAGGGAACAGAAAATGTGTTGTTTTATGTCTAATTCTCCCAGCCTTTTATTTGGCAGAGGAGGGGGAGATACAACTTAATTATTTTGTTGAGGCATCACACACCAAGTAATAAATAACCTGGGACCATTATCCTAATGAACATGTGCTTGTTGCATTAGACTATATTGGGAAAGCATAGTCTGCATATTTCAGAGTCTACTTGTGATGAGAGAACTTTGGAGTTGATTTTTGTCACACAAAAGCAGCAGACCTGCAGCAACATGGACCTCTGGTCTTCATGAAAAAAATTAATCATGTGATTGGGATCTAAGCCTCCATCTTACCACTTTTCACACATTACAAAATTAACTGAAATCTCCTCATCTTTGCCTCTCTTTTTTCCAGGATTGCTTTTCCTTTCCTCATCTTCTGACTTGTTCGTGTGAGCAGTCTTCTTATAAAAGATGTCATTAATATTGGGCATCAGAAAGTGATAGATACCTTTATTAAGAAAAAAACTGAAGCTTTTAAAGTCGATCCTAAGGTGTGAGGGAAAATCCAGTTGTGATTACAGTGGTCAGGTCCATTTTTTAATGGCATCTGAGATTTGTTTTTAAATAATTTTAAATTTATTATAGTGTGATTTTTAAAAAATGTGTACATTAACTTAGCCTTGGAATGACTTTGATTTCTTTAACATTCCTTCTGTCAAAAAATTTCACCGCCCAACATGCATAGAAGTAGGAAGGGTAGCAGCAGATTTCTGTGTTGCCTTCCTAAAGGAACAGTGGGAGCAGGAAAGTGCTTTTAAAGAAAGTCAGCATAAACTTCTGACAATGAAGACCTGTTTTAAAGCCTGTAGCCACGATATACAAGCACAAGTGCATGACAGTTTGCTTGGTTATGGCCTAACTCTAAGTTAAATAATTTAAAGCCTAAGATTTTCCCCTTTCAGAACAGGACATCAGTCAAAGTCTTAAAGGCTGACTGTTCTGACCTTAATGCATGCCACAATGTGCCTTTTTGGTTTCCTTTCTGTATCTTGACCCCACCCTTCCTTCAGTTGGCGGAGCTGAACTATATGTCCTTCTGAAACCTGCTGTTTCCCTTCTTCACACTAAATCTTTTGTATCCGAATAAAGAGAATTTGAGTGAGTTAATTTCTAAACCCACCACAAGCATAGGACTGATTATGATAATGTCAAATTATCATAGTTGTTGTATATAGCCCTCATTTTGTACACAATGGCTTTTCAGTTTCTTTCACTACTGTAATGATGTTGGGGTTTGGGTGGAAGGAGGGCGGGAGTGTTTTAAATATAGTCCTGCGTATACTGGCAACCTCTGTTGAAAGTATTTGAATAAATTCAATTAACTTCTCCATGCTTAATCCTAGTTGTGTGTCAACAGCTTCCCCCCCCCCCAAATTGGTAATGAAACAGCTTGAGAGGTAAATCTTTAAATATTATACGCACCACTTAACCAAACCTGAGCATTTTTGTAACCCATTGGCTAGAATGTTACTATGTATTTCCAAGTGGTATACCTTCTAATGGCAAATCCTTGCACGTTAGGAAGTCAGTGGAGGCATTTCCTATCACACACTGAATGACTGGATTGGTGTGCGATGGGAAGTGCCTACACTAACTTTCTAACTTGTGGCTGCTGAAAATTATTCCACTGGTATTACCCCGAATCAATGGATTTCAGCTATTAATTTTCATGTGGGAAAGTTATAGATATATCTCACACGCTCATCAAAATCAGTGAAATCTAAAAGTGCTTAACTGACTAGGCTCTGTCCTTAGCTCTGCATTTGACACTCCTTTGCTTACTGCATATTAGCAAAATATTCAAATGTGACAAGTGTTGTAAAGGAAATACTGTTTTTAAAAAGTGCTCAACAAAGTAGTGATGGTGGTGGAGGTAGACATCCTATAAATTATCTCCTTACTCTAGCCACATGCTACTGTTGCTTGCTATTCAGTTTCTCTAAATCACTTGAGCTGTAGGATCCTCTCTGACCACAGAAGGCAAACAGCTTAATGTACCTCAAATTACTGCAGCTGCTCACTTACCTGAATATATATGCAATTTCTTTTAAAAATCCCTTAAATCTTCTTTCCAATTACCTTTTTTTTCCTCCTTTCTGCATTGGAAAGATTTGATTATTTTATTTGCTATTGTTATTCCTAACATTTAAGGAATTTGGGCAATGCTTTGGAGAAGGCAGTCTGCACGTGATGCAATTTGTTGAATTTTAGATTTCAAAATCCCACAATAACTTCAAAAATGCTAATTACACTTAATAACCTGAATTTGAAAATGCTTTGCAACTTACTTATGGCGAGAATAGCAAACAGTATATAATGAAGACTCTGTGCAACTGCTGTGGTCAGATTCCTGAATTGGGCTGTGGCAAAGTGCAGCCCTTTTTACAATATACAAGGGTGCCCCCCTTGTGGCCTTTCTCCCTCTGACTTGTGGCCTTTGTCCCCCCCCCCCCGTATGTGGTATATAGGTTTCCCTCATATCCTTTGTTTCAGGCAACCATGACAGATGGTGGAAATTATCTCCCTCAGATCTGGGGGTCCTACTGTAGAACCCTTCCTAGGATTTTTTTTTTTTTTAAATCTACACCTCTTTCAAACAAAGGACTATCCTCTATAAAGTAGAGCAATAGGCCACTCTTCTGCCAGCCAGGCATGCTGCTAATTCTTGAAAAACAATGGCCAAAATCCTTTTGTGTAGCTACACATACAGTGTAACTTTTAGAAGTGAATTGTCCTGAGTTAAGAAAGCATTATGGACACTGACTAGTTTATGCCAGTATAACATAAAGTTATGCCAGTGCCAGGCATTACACCTGGAAACAAAAAAAAATTGCATGATGGAATCACAGTCTATTGTGCATCCATGGCACAACAGATGGGATAATGCACCACCACTGGAAATGCTTTGAGGATAGCAATTTCGCCTTGGCACTAGCATACCTACCACATCCACAATCACATGTTACACATGCATAGTGGGCAATAGGATTTTGGCCACTATCATTTGCATGCCATGTCATAACACTTGGTATGCAACTGATAATGTCTATGGTGATTTCTTAACTTTGGAGACTTCACCTCCAAAAGCTATGCCATTTTTGCTATGCCAGTATGAATAGGTAAGATTTGGGCCAACGTATCCTATCTCAAAAAGTATTTTTATTTTAAGTAGCTGATTCATTTTTCCAGATAACCATTCTAACAGATGTCTAGGTCATTGCTGATCCTGTATCATGCAAACAAGCTAAAAACTCTCCATAGCTTGTTTATAAACATCTTGTCTTTATTAATTTGAAATCCAGCTGGCTTTTAAACGGCCTGAGAACCAAAGTGATGGAAGAGCTGTTCCCACATTTTCCCCCTAGTGTGGTTAGATTAATATAATCTGTCTCCAACTCCTAAATTATTGATACAGACTTGTTGGCAGATAAAGCTTTATGATCATAGCAGAAAAGAGGCCTAAGTGAGGTGGGAGATGATATTTCTTTCTGAAGTTTTATGTTTCATCACCACCATTACTACAATTATGTCCAAGGAAGCTGGTGATCAGTTGTAAACATTATATACAGGGCTATAGCTGGCATGGCTGAGTGGATGAACATCCAAAGCAAATATGGTGAATGATCATCTTCCAGAATTACAAATTTCTCTCTGGTCTCCCCTTCCAGGAAGGTGGGAGATGCACTGGCCACTGAGATTTCTAGCCTGAGCTTTCCCTGCCTGGATACATGGTTATTTCTTGATAGCGTGTGTTGTTCTTATTGCTGGTGGTACAACTAATACACTGCCCCATAGTGCTAAAGCACTCTCTGGGTGTTTTACAGTTAAATTATGCAGGCTACACATCACTCCACCCCCATGAGCTGGGTACTCAATTTTCCAACCTCAAAAGGATGGAAGACTGAGTCAACTTTGAACCGGCTATCTGAATCTGTCAGGATTGAACTCGGATTATGAGCAGAGACTTGACTGCAGTACTGCAGTTTAACCACTACACCAGAGGACTCTGTGTGAAATGTATATACAGTACTGTACTGTAATTGTTGTATTTACAAAGATAGCACATCACTTCAAATTCATTCAGTTACACTGGGCATTCTTAAGGCCAGCCCTGGAATAAGCAGAAGCCCAGGCAAGAAGAGTCCTTTTCATGACCCAGAGGGTGTATGGTGTCTGAGACAGGTGTCATGTTGAAGGCCCTGCTATTGGCCATAGAAGAACCCATCAATGAATATATATAAAGCTGAGGGTTACATGCAAGAATTTTTACACACTTGGTTTCCTTGTGAGAATTCATGCTCCTCCTTATCCTGGGGTCAAGCAGAATGACATGCTTCATTTTTTCCTTCACCTGGGGATAAGGGAATAAGGTTTGGGCTGTGCTCTTCTACAAATTCTTCTGCTTTCTGGGGCTCAGCCTCACACGTCTGCTTGTGGCCTGCTGTTGGCTTTCTCCACTGATCATGTAGGAAGGACTCTTCCTTTAAGGCCTGGCCTGGCCTCACATCACTCTTACACCTTCCTCCTGTGATAAAAGCCGAGAAAATTAGTCTTCACTGACATGTTGTCTATAAATATTAGGGCGTGTTTACTCACTCACTCACTGCTTTAGCTGTTTCCTTACGATGTCTGGAGTTCTTTCTCCGACAAAAACGATCCACTTCCCATGACACAGACTCCCTTCCTAAAGCCTTCCCTGTTCCTTCTCTCCTTGAAACAGACTCTGTAAGCAAAGCTACTTGGCCTGGACCAATCCCATGTCCATATGACCCATTTCACTTCCATTGCTGGTTGGATATAAAGAAACATATCACATGACCATGACAAGCGTAGCTTCTCTTCCAGGCCTCCGTCCCTTCCAGACTTCCAAGGATAAATTTTACAGCCAGATTAAATTTGACATAAAAAGCAAAAATAATTTGTTTACCTTCTCCTTTACCAGAATGAATGTACTCTTATGCTTGCAGCAACACCTTGAACAGCACATTAGCTGGTAATCTATTTCTCACACAGTGGTGTAAATATTTATTCCCATCATGGCCAGGGGGAGGTCCCATTATCTCACTAGTACATGTTGAGATGCAGTGCCATCTTACATTCTAATAAGCCATTTCCTCTTTTGATGAACATTCTAAAGAAAATACCAAGAACTCTAGTAAGCAACATGGCAGGGTCAAAGCAGGGGCCAAAGGTACATATAGGAGAAAAGGCAGGGAGTCTTGCTTTGTAACATCCTGGAGAAAATTTCCTCCCATTATCCCTGCCCTGGACAACCCTCCAGATCTGCTTTGCTAACAGTTTGCATGGCCTGGGCAAGATTGCAAAAAACAGCAGTTTTGAAAAAGGCCTCAAAAGGGCTACTTCTTATCTGTTGCTCTGCTTTCGGGGCCCTCCTGCTCCA